CAAACTCAGGTCTGATCCCCGGTACCACATGCTGTGTGGCCTTGGAACCCCGGGTGTGTCATGCCGGCCACCAATACTGGGTGCAGGTGGTACATGCTTGTAATTCCAGTGCTGGGAGGCTGAGACAGGAGGATCACTATGAGTCTGAGCTGCATAGCAAGACTCTGTACCAAATAAATTAATTAAAAATACTAAATTTACCTTGTAGGTTGATAGGAGGAGATCGTGCATTTATGGCACCCAACCTGAGGCCTGGCATAGAACAGCCATCACTAAGTGGCTGTTGCTACCACCACTGCTTGTTGTCTGGGTTTTGCAATGGACTGTTGGGACAAATAATATTGAGGCCGAATGTTAATGGGTTTAGCTATATTGCCGAACATTTAGCTCAGAAGCAGTAACACAAAGAGCATATTAGTGTTTAATGTGGTAACAGCTTGTTCTTTGAGCTAATATTAGTAAATGTATCTGAAGCCATCTGCTTGTATGAAATTGACAGTTTAAGAATAAATCCATCACTTGAGTGAATGCTTTTGTTTCAGCAAAGCTACAACACTGGAGAAGACCTATGGGCCTGCATGGATAGCCTATGGGCATTCATTTGCTGTTGAGAGTGAGCATGACCAGGCCATGGCTGCCTACTTTACAGCAGCACAGCTGATGAAAGGGTAAGACAGAGCATGCGGAGTGGACTTCAGGGGAGAGTTTGGTTTTTTGTTTTGGGGTCCCCCTGCTTTAGTAGAATCAGATGAAATTACTGTTATTGCCATTTGGTTGCTACACTAGAAACCATTATACTTCCTTTTATCTACTACGTTGTTTTTGTTTGCGATGGTGGTTTTTGTTTTGTGATACTGGGGATTGAACTTGGTACCCCGTACACTCGCCAGTCAGGTTCTTATGCCACTGAGCTATTTCCCTGGCCCTCACATCTACTTTATAATAGTAAAATAAGTATGGACAAGGAAGGGGAAAGAAGTTGAATTTGCTCATCAGCCTATGTCAATGTGAAAGGAGCTGTGAAATTAAGCCAGGGGAAGAGATGAATGTGGAAGCCCTTTTTCATGTGCTTGTGCAAAAATGAAAATATTCACGAGCCCACATGCTTTGCTGGCCCCACCCCTGGGCAGGCAGAGCCAGCCACTGATACCAGGTGTGGTGGCGCATGCCTTTAATCCCAGTGCTGAAGAGGCTGAAAATAGGAGGACCACTGAGTCTGGGCTGTGTAGTGAAACCCTGTACTGAATACATGGAAAAAATAATAAAATATTCTTTTTTTTTTTTCTCAAAACCGGGGATTGAACTCAGGCCCTTGTGCTTGCCAGGGAAGTGCTTATTCCACTGAGCCATCTCCCCGGCCCCTAATAAAATATTCTTGACCAAATTTATTATTATCCTCATTACTATTTGTTTCTCAATAAAATTAATTTAAAAATTTTTATTATTATCATATCTTACCCACTACCAGAAGTCGCTTGGTTGTGACTTGGTGATAATGTAGGACTATTTGCCAGTATTACCGGTTCATGTCACTATCATATACACAGTATTCATATGAATGTATCCTGAAAGTATATTTCTTTGGCAAGTAGAATAGTACAGTTATTCCCCTTGATTCTTTGGCTTCACGTTGATTACTCACTGCAGAGTTCTTTTTTTGTGGACAAATCTCACTGACTGATGACTCCATCCCTGTGGAGACAGGCAGTGGAAATGTGATGGTCCCCAGGGCTGGACTGCATTTTGCGTTCCTGTATCTCATGGCTCTTCTATTCAGTGCTGTGTGACCTTGGGAAAATTGCTTAACCCTTCTGAAAAATAGGAATGATTGCATAATTTACTGGTTTATTGTGAGGAATATTCAGTAATACCAATAAAAGATGTTGAACAGTGTCCTACATAGAATGTACTCAATAGAATTTTGCTACCTTTGCTCGTAAGATTTGGGTAGGGCCAAATACTTGTCTATCTTGAATTTTGATCTTAAGTTTGATTTGTCTTTTCATACTGTCAGACTCTGGCATTGGTTCTGCATGTGGATTATTTATCATCTCAGTTTTCTGTAGTTGTTAACTTTGATAGATATGTCTCTTACACTTAACTAGTCATCTATGGAAATACTGTGAAAGATGTAACTCCTTTGATAGGTTTTTTTTTAATGTATTTAGTACAGGGTCTCACTGCACTGATCAGACTCATAATGATCAAACCCTGGTCCCTAGCGCTTGTCTAAGCAGGCACTTCAGTCTGCTGAGCCGTCTGGCTGGCCCATTTCGATAGGTTTCTCAGCAGTGCAATGAAGAGATAAGAAAGGTAAAAGCAGCCTTTGTTAAGTCCAAAGACAGGAGAGGATCCAGGGCAGATGGGGAAAGCCTCTGACCTGAGACAGAGAGCTGGGGCTTTCATGGACTTCTGCTGGGGGCGAGTTGGAGGGGTGGTTTCAGTTACATGCAAGGAGCTAGTTGGGGTCTCCTGGGCGTGGGAAAGTGAGAGGAAATTGTATACAGGGTTGGAGTGGGGAAGAAGGAGGAGGTGGTCACTGGGAAGATAAGCTGCTGTTTTAGGGGCTTCAGCCATGTTAGATGACCACCGTAGTATTAGCAGTTTATACTGGGGCCAGAACCTGTCATCCTTAACTATGTTAGTCAGCTTGAGTTGCCATAACAAAATATCACAGACTGGATAATTTAAACAAGCAACTTATTTTCTCATGGCTCTGAAAGGCTGGAAGTACATGTTCAAGGTGCTAGCAGTTCCTGGCTTGCAGATGTCAGCTTCTCATAATGATCCTAGCTATTTGAATAGGGGCCTACTTGAGACCTCATTTAATTTTTACCGCCTTTCACAGGCTATGTCTCTGAATAGAGTCATGGTAGGGGTTAGACTTCATGTGTGAAGTTGAGGGTGTCCTATTCATCCATTTCAGAGCACTAACCGTGCCTCTTGGAAAAAATCTTCTGGGTTGAAGTCCTTTACCACATTGTTGATCACAAAAATGGGCTTCATACTTGCTTCAGTGTCTCCATCCTGTTTGCAAGGATGTGTGAGACCTTCTCCAATCTGTGTAGACACTCAGGTGCACTGCCTGCATATTTCTGCAATGAACCTGGTAAATAAGCAGCAAAAAATTCTCAGTAATTTATTAGCTTTTTTCTTTGGAATGCACGCTAAGGCCTGGCATCTTTTGATATTCTAGATGCTAGAAGTAGTAGTTGCTAGTTAGTTTTCTAACTAAGAATCAAAGTCAGTGACACGATCAGTATCTTTTTAGTGTTGTCCAGTCTAACAAATTTTGTTATTAAGCCAAGTGTGGTGGCACATTCCTCTAATTCCAGCACTCAGGAAGCTGAGGCAAGAGGATCATATCATAGCAAGTTCAGTTCCAGCCTGGGCTACAAATTGAGCTCAAGGCCACCCTGAACTGCACCGTGAGACCTAGTCTCAGAAAGACAAAAATAAATAAGTAAATAAAAATAAAACAAATGTCATTAAATTTTTGCATCAAGCTAAGATTTCCTTCTCAGAACAACTTTGCATTCTTCTCATTTTCTTGTGTTTGGATGCATCTTTGCAATAGAGTAAATATTTTTAAGTTTCCATTGTGATTTTTTTTTTTCTTTGACCTGGTTAATATGTTGAATTTCCGTATGTTTGTGAGCGACCTGTTTCCTTGTAGTACTGATTTCTCACATGATTCCCCTGTGGCTAGAGAACAGTCTTTGTGGTATCTCAGTCGTCTTCTATGAGCCAGCATAGGCTTGTTCCAGAGATTGCTCTGTTCTTTATTGTAAATGGAGCACCAAAATTTCAGTTTTAATGTCTGTTTCTCTCATAATTATGACAATTTCTACTTCATATATTCTAAAGCCCTTTTGTTAAGTACTTTGCCATCATGAATACTCTTCATAGATTGAGCCTTTCTTGTCTCTACTATTTCTTAAAGTCTTTTATTTAAGTCATACTAACTCTCCTTTGTTTTTGTGCTATCCTTTTCTGTCTGTATTAGCTTTTCACTGCTTTGACCTATTTCTGGAAAGCCAACCTAAAGGAGAAAGCTTTATTTGGGCTCCCAGGCCCAGAGGCTCAGGCCATGACCATGTGGTTCCATTACTGCTGGGCCCAGATAAAGCAGAATATCACTGTGGAGTGTATTGGTGGCGTGGAGGCGCTTATCTTTTGGCATCTAGGAAGCAGAGAGAAATAGTGTGTGTCCGTCTGTGGGAGGGAGCAGATGGCGGGGACTTGATATTTAGCCCCCAAGGGCGTTACCTCAAGGGTGTGTTTTTTTCAGCTGGGCCCTGCTTCTAAATTTCCATCACCTCCCAGAAGCCCATTTGATTAGGAACCCATGAGTGGGTTAATCTGGTGATGCGATCAGAGCCCTCATGAACCCATCAGTTCCCAAAAGACCACACTCTGAGCATTGCTACACTGGGAGCCAACTTTATAACACATGAGCCTTTGGGGAACATTCCAGATACAAACCTTAACAACATCCTTTTTCAACTGGCTCATGTCTTTGAATCTGAAGTCTACCTCTTAGAGACAACATATAATTAGATCATGTTCTTAACCCAGTCTTTGTCTTTTCGTTGGCACGTGTATTCTGTTTGCACTTAATATAGTTACTGACAAGTGGGATTTATGTCTGCCATTTTGTTCCTTGTTTTCTGTATTTTGTGGGTTGTTTGAATTCTGTTTTTCCATTACTGACTTTTTGTGTTAAGTAGCTGCTTCACAGTCAAACTGTCTTGGTCACCTCGTGTTTCTACATATGGTATATGTCTTTTTTTTTTTTTTTTTTTTTTTTTTATGTATCTAGTACAGGGTCTCACTAGACACCTCAGACTCATAGTGATCCTCCTGTCTCAACTTCCCCAGTACTGGGATTACAGGTATGCGCCACCACACCTGGTCTTGAGGGCTCGCTAGAGGCACCTGGCACAGGGCCAGCACCACATGTGGTACCGGCTTCCTTGTGCTTGCCTAGGCAGGTGCTTAGACTGCTGAGCTATCTCTGCAGCCCATATATCTATCTGTATATCTACACACATATGTGTGTGCGCACACACACTTTTTTTTCCTTAGTAGTGATGGTTAACATTTTCAAACAGTCTAATTTTTATTAAAACCAACTAAATCTCAGTAGTATACCAAAATAACATTACCCCAGCTTAGATCTATTTCCTTCTGCCTCCTTCCTGCCATTATTTTTTAAGCTAGTTTCATCCTACCCATTATAAGACTATTTGCACAGATTTAGAATTATTGTTTTACTTAATTGTCTTTTTCTTGTTTTGGTACTGGGGATTGAACTCAGGACCTTGTCAATTGTCTTTTATTCAGAAGAAACGACTTGCAAAAAAAAATATACATACACTGCTTTATATTTCCCAGTGTAGTTATTTTTACTGAACACATTTCTTTGTGTAGATTTCAGTTACTCTCTATTATCGGTTCATTTTAGCCTGGAGGACTCAATTTCTTTGCTTTTCTTTCTTTTTTTTTTTTTTTTTTTTTGGTACCAGGAATTGAACTCAGGTCCTTGGGCTTGCCAGGCAAGCACTTATTCAACTGAGCCATCTCCCTGGCCCCATCTTTTATATTTCTTGATGAGCAAGACTTCTACTGAAGAATTCTTTCAATTATCCATTATCATATTGATTACTTACTAATTCTTCCTTTTGCCTATTCAAATCTGCTTTTAAGTCTTTCTAATGAATGTTGTATTTCTTCACTTGTAATTGGCAACTCCAGAATTGCTGTTTAGTCCTTTTTAAAGATGTTTGTTGGCCAGGTGTGGTGGTGCACCCCTGCAACCACAACACTTAGGAGGCTGAGGCAGGAGGGTCACTGTGATTTCAGGGCTAGCCTGGACTACATGAGCGAGTACGAGGCCAGCATGCACTGTGTAGCAAGATCCCATCTCAAAAAACAAATAAAAAGCAGGTTGCAAAATACTGGTACAGCTTGTGTTCAATGTTGTTTAGAAATGGAATTGAGTGTATATTCTATATTAGAAGAAACAAATGGTAACCCTGGTTTTCTATGAAAGATTGAAATTATAGATTATTTTTGTTCCTTGATAGTTTTACATATTCCTTCTTTGAAATATTCTTAAATGGTCATTTATTATACTTACAATTAACTAGTAAAAAGACGTTATAAATAAATGAAACAATTTCTGTGTCTTTATTCTGTTTGGCGAGACATTCTTATATTTAATTTTCTAGACATAGTTATTAGAATGTTTAATATAGCTTATTTAAGGCGCTGTTAGGCCTTTTCTTGTGGCTTTTTTTCCCTATGCATGGGCCATATTTCCTTTTTTTGCCTATTTGTGTTGAAAGTAATGTAATGCAACATTTCTAACAATCAGATTCCCCATCCACCCCAGAACATACACTGAGTTCATTGTGTCCCTTGCTACGTGAGGCCACTTAAATGTTTTGGTTAGCTAGCTCCGCAGCTTTAACTCCATCTGCCTCAGTGAGGACACTTTTACTACATGCTGTTATTGGTCACCTGCCTCAGCTTTCCCTTGCTTTGTACACTGAGCCTTTAGGTCAGAGATGAGAGATTCAGCCTCCACAGGGCTTCCAAGTACTTGCATCGACCGGTAGAGGGTGGTGCCTTCTGGATCCTCAGCGCCCCAAGGAACATCTTACTCCTCGTGTGTCTTTCAATTTTTTGGCTAGCATTTGTTTGCACGCACTGGCATAGCTGCCTCAGGTAGCTGCAGTGATAAATAATGATGTTGGTTGTTCTCAACAAGTGAAGCAGAGACAGACCTCTTCTCACCAAGAGCTGTGTGGTCAAATAAGAGGCTAGGAAGAGCCTTTCCCAGGGCTGTAGGTCCTCTGCTGCAGAAGCTCCACACTGCTGCTGCTTCCAGTGACTGCTGGGCCAAGGATTGTACCACTGCTGCCACTGCTAAAAGGGCTTGCTAGGGCAAAAGACAGGCACAGTATATTTTAAGCCCCACAAGTGTGCTGTGCTTACCCAGAGCTAGGTGTTTCCTTGAACATCCGCTTGATCTTCGGTTAACTCCTGAAGTTCTGAAAAAGTTGATTTTGATAACATTTGTCACTGTTCTTGTTGATTTTATGGATAGATTCTAGAAGTGACAACTGATTGGTCTAAAATCCAATTAGCTGTTCATTAACTATTAGTAAACAGAAAAAGATAAATGTGTTTTTGGCTACCATTGAATGATTTTGCAGGTAATATCTGAAGTTAAAAAATTTCTACTGAATTGCCAACTTGTTTTGGTTTTGAATAGACATTTCTTATGTTTTTAGGTGTCATCTGCCAATGCTGTATATTGGATTAGAATATGGTTTGACTAATAACTCAAAACTGGCTGAAAGATTCTTTGGCCAAGCTCTGAGCATTGCACCAGAAGACCCTTTTGTAATCCATGAGGTTGGCGTGGTTGCCTTTCAGAATGGAGAGTGAGTATCCAAGGCCTCAGCCACTCTGTTGGCTCTGTGAGTGACACTTCCCGCACCAGAGTTTAATTGACCAAGGTGACCCAGTAGCATTTTTATTTTTATGTTGTTCTTTTAGGAGATGGAAGTTAAAGAGAAATGTTAAACACTGCCTTCTTGGATTTCCTTATAATCCCAAACCCATCTTTTGATTTTCCTTGATTTTGGCTGCCACAAGTTCTTATTCTACAGTGTGACATGAAGGTTCTAGGATCCTTAGTCACCTCTGTCAGTGAGGGTTAGACACGTACTTAAAGTTTTCCCACAATTTTTGAAACTAGTAAACCAGAAAATTAATCTAATTAGAATCACCCAACACTGGGCGTGGTAGAGCATGCCTGTAATCCCAGTGCTGGGGAGGCTGAAAACAGGAGGATCACTATGCGTATGAGCTGCGTAGTGAGACCCTGTACCAAATACATTAAAAAAAAAAAAAAGAAAGAAAAAGAATCATCCAGTCTGGTGTCCAGATCAGTTGAGCCTTTTCTGTAGCCTTTGATATTAATAAATTATTTGATCTACTCAAAAAGAAAAATATCTAATTCTTTTCATTAGATTATACAAAAATTTAAAACAGTAAATCAGTAATGCATGTTAAACAGGGTGTCTGACGGAAACACACAAAACAAGTCTATTCATGACCAGTTATGCTCAGAGGTTTTCAGAACCTTAAATACCACAAATCATGAGAATCAACTTTCCAAAATTCTGAACTCATAGTATTAATACCATAAGATTAACATTTATCTAACTTAAATTTCATTTGAATCATTTATTCTCAGGAGATTACCCCATCTATTTTCAATGCTACCAGAAAAAGATAACTAAAATTTTTTATTTTAATGTTTATATGTGCTAATTTTGAATAACCTGCAGCCTTTATTCCCTCTATTTTTTAGGTGGAAAACAGCAGAAAAATGGTTTCTTGATGCTTTGGAAAAAATCAAAGCAATCGGGAATGAGGTATCTGTGTAATAGCTGTACATACACTCATATATACCACTGAGCATACTTACTGTTACTTACCCTAACACCTGTCATAACAAATGGCGTGGTGGCGTAAAATTGTTAGATAATGAACTGTTTTACCACATGGCAAAAATGAGGTGGTTTCTGATGAAGGGACAGATGTTGGGTGTTTGCTTCTGGGTCACATGGGAGCAGTCAGATATGTGGGATGATTGGGAACTGAACATGTGGGATGGCTAGTAGAACTTGATGGGCACTGCCGCTTCTAACAAGTACCTCTCTAGACCTGGTGCTAGGAGCCTGGTGCTTGACTTGGGGGTTGGGGATAGGGGCCCTGCAGTTAGTAGTAGATCTACTTCCATGGTAACTGTCATTTGAATTCAGACCTTTGGTTACTGTCCCTTACCGTGTGCTATGCATTTAGACCTGTGCGTGTTTAAAGTCTTTGGCTAGGTTGTCATGTATGAAAGGTGCACCTGATGAATTGGTGCTATGATAGCCCTCCAACAAGCCAGGATCTGTATGCACTGGCATTATTTTAAAGTAGTAACAATTTAGATGTAAACTTATATAGGTAAAGTATATGCAAGTCAGATTCCCAGTTCTTTCAGCTATACCAATCTTTTTCTCTTGTGACAACTACAGTGCAGGCCCCCTATAGTGGCAGTTTCCCTGTCCCCTTAGATTCAGCTTTACGTCTTTTGGTGTCCTAGTTGTCATCTGAATTTATTTCTACACATTTACTCCTCAGCTAAGTCTTAGATGATTCTCTGTGATCTTTATGTTTTTCTTTAGTCTGGCCTAGAAGCAGAAGTGCAGACTTTCAGGTCTGCTGAATGCAAATGGTGGCATAGAAAAGTCTGAGAAGCATGCTTCTGAGCCACATGTAAAATTGGAAGTACAGGGATGGGGAGATAGCTTGGTGATCTAAGCACCTGCCTGGCAAGTGCAAGGACCCAGGTTCGATCCCTGGTACCACATGACGTGTGGGCCCCAGAATCCTGGGCACACTGTGCCAGCCACTAAAACCAGGTATGGTGGCACATGCCTATAATCCCAGCACCAGGGAGGCTGAGACAGTAGGATCACTACAAGTCCAAGCTTTATAGCAAAACCCTATACCAAATAGATAAATAATTTAAAAGAAAAGTTGTTTTTAAAATAA